GCTGGTCAACATGAGTTACGCAAACGATTGGATCTTATGATCTATCTGACGAATTGTCATTCTCCCACAAAGTTCAGTCGATAGTTAGCTATCTCCCCCTTTGGGCGATGCTAAGTCCACGTTACAACTTTGCTAGATGCGTTATCCGATTGAACCTAACTGCCACCACTATCAAAAAGATCTTTGCACAAGTTAATCGCAGCCTCATGTGCCAACAAGAACACAAACGGTTGGAGGAATGGGGCGAAAAGCTAGCGAGGTTGTTACTCACATCAAGTGATTTTCTTGCAAGAAAGATTTGCTGCACGAGTTTTCCGGAATAATCTGTTACAAATGAACGCGTTTTCTCCGGATGAGAATACGTAAACATGAAACGAAATACATACATGCGAAAAAATGGCGAACGGGAGACTTCCTTTGGGTTTATAGGATCAAACTACCGTTGTAACAGAGCAAAGATAGTTAGGGAGTGGGGCTGTGTATTGCTTTGGAACGTATTGGTAGAAAGGAGGACGGTCTCCTTCCTCATCGGAGACAGAGAAACTAGCTTGTCAGTTTAGTCTTGAGACAGCCTGTCTTTCGCTGCCTAGAGGACGTGTAGATAGCTTTTTTCCACGTCTCCACGTGGAGATTGTTAGTTTAAGAAGGTTTTATAAGCGATTATTCCCTGGTTGGGACAGCATGAGTGACGTACGTGGGAGGAAATGTCAAGCGCCGATAGTTCTACACTACTGAGTTACACAGTAGGTTTAGTGTGGCTCAAAAACCATGCTTCAGATAGAACTCTAAAACGTAGTAACAGTAGATATTTGTCGACAAAATGCGAAGAACGCAATTCATCATAATGAGATAGTGGTCATGTGTAGAATACACTGGAGAAAATTATCCCCACGGTTGAAGGTAACATGGAAACATTGAATACATGATCTCGGAAAAATAAAAACGTTGGTTGAGTGGTCTGGGCTGTAGTCGGTTTATTATGCCTTGTTTCAGCAAGGCTCGTTTATCGTGTTCTCTGATATAACTGAATGGAAATAACTACAAGTATTTGGAAGTAATCAACGTGGAAGGGACACAGGTGTTCTGTTCTCAACATATCCGGTCTCCACTTCACTGGGATTGATCGGTTTGCACTGTTGAGGGTGTTTACCAGCAGGATTGGAGAAACTAATCTAAGCACCCGAGTTTTCATGTTTATAGTTAATGTTTCTTTCGAGGAATTTCATCATGTAATCAAAAAATCATCCACCTACATTCAGCTAAAATGCTATTCAGAAGGCGGACGCGCCAATCAGTCTAACCGATGAGGGTTACACGTTGATATACCCGGAATATCGACTGATGGATAGTAGGGACCAACGGAAGCTCCTTTTGGTTAGAGGTTTAACTCAATCATCGGACACGATCCGCGAGATTGAATCAATGCATTTCCAACGCAGTGGATTTACTCAGTAATTTCGGTTGGGTTTCACGTGCATCAAATGTTTGTTTACTATCTGTGAAATAATGAACGGCTCTGGCTCGGTAAGAAGGGATAGTTTAACTTTGGATGAAACTACGTTGCTTCTACAGATTTGGTCGAAATGGAAAATAAAAGCACGTCTTATCCATCATTGTATGCGGCAAGTGAGAGTCTTTATATGATTTGACTGGTGCATGGAATTTCATTGATAGACCCAGTTCACTCAGGTCATGTAGCTCTTAATTAAAAAACAAATACCGAAATGCCAATAGTGTACCCGTTATGTTCTCTTTCTGTCGGCGAGTTCATCAGTTCCAGTAATTTTTATTCGCTGTGGTCTCGCCTCGCATCACAAGGTTCAACCAGTAGCAATTTTCGACAGTACGAGCACTAGCATAGAACAAAGTTTTAGTTGCAGACAGCTATTTTTTTGCATTCCCAGTGGCTTACCACCTCCACCTTTCTAGATCGGTGTTATCCATATCTGGTCGAGAGGAATACAGAATTCTTAGGGATACCCACCATTGTTGTAGCAGCAACAGTGTCACTCGTTCCACGGCATCCATGCAAATACTGTGTGAACCCCAGGGGTGACCATGAGAGCTGATAATTCTAGAAATTGTAATGGTGGTCTGAGCTCGCTCTTTCGCTTCCAAAGGATTTTCTAATAGTTGGAGTGTTCTCTATTGCAGTGTCTTGTTAGGTATTCGATATTTTGTTACGTGTGGTGTGACAATCCTCTGGTTGATCAGCTTTAGGGTCATCGAGGGGATCGCACATGATTGAAGCGCCGATACGCCGATGAGCAATGGCGATGATGAGCGGGCAGGAGGGGGGGGGATAAATAAAAGCCAACAGTTGGCAATAATTGAAGTGTTATTATCGATACATTTGTGCATGGGGGTGCGCACGTGTTGATCGACAATTTCCTAATGGAATGCTTCTAGGCCAACTCTTTTATCGAATGACCCATACATAAAA